TAAAAGTGATCAATAAATCATTGAATTAATGAAACGAACAAACAAACAAACAAACAGACAAAAAAGTATCCTTTGACATTGATATATTCATTAGCATGATTAATTGCACAACTTTACAGCAATATTATTAGTATTATAATTTTTTCAAGAAAAATTGTACTGTTTATTTAAATGTGAATAGAAAAAAGAAAGAGGAATACAAGGTCACAATGTTGTTGATGTGGGCTTTTTTGTTTGTTTGAATACACTTATTAAAAATAATTGGACAAAGATTAGAAAAACAATAAATGAAGTTAAGTTGAGCGTGAAATACGAAGAATATCCTACAAGGAATGATTGGCTAAAACGCTGTTGGATGCCGGGCCCAGTGGTCCGATGGTTTAGCGTTCGCGCACAATACCGAAGGTTCCGGGTTCGAATCCTGCGAGGTGTACGAGTCGTGAATACGCACTGCTAATGTGTCCCATACCAGGATAAAACACTATTATCAATTAGAGTTATGGAGATGAATGTTTCTAGACATTTCTTGAAATCATCAGACAATCATTAGAAACCTGGAAACACTGAAAGGCAACCGTTTAGTTCTGGTATGGGACGTATCAGTGGTAGTGTGCATCCACAACTCTTGCATCTCGCAGGATTCGAACCCGGAACCTACGGTATTGTGCGCGAACGCCTAACCTTTGGACCACTTAGCCTATATCTAACGGTGTTAATGTCTAACTCTGATTGATCTATGGATTTTGCGCGACCTCATCCATTTGACTTTAGTAGTTACTGCCTACACCCGACAGGGTTGAACTCCATTGGTCACATCTTCTCACTAGAACTACGAGAATTTCCTCATGAAGCTAGTCACTACAAGTGAGCATATTTTACGATATTTTCAATTGGAGTTATGGAGATTAGTGTTTTTACACATTTTTTTTGAAATCATCAATCAATCATTGTTAGAAACTATTAGTCGAATCAGTAAACCTGCGTGTTTTATGTTCAATTGACAGCAGTCAAATATAACACATATAAGCAAGCATGAGAATAAGACAACTCCGCATGGAGCCCTTCTTAGGGGTTACTGCGGAATCCTTGGACAAAGGAGGAGTGTTGAGCATAGGGGGTTTAGAGATCGCATCTTGTAGAAATCCAACTTGCCTGAATAAACAAAACGCTAAACAGAAAACTAATTCGCTAGTTGGCGGTGGTCTATGCTTCTTCAAGTAGAGGTAGTAACAGGTGTAAGTAAGTAAAGGCAAATGAGAATAAGACAAAAATTGATTATTGAAACTGGAGGTTGTGATAGTGGTGTGATGTTTTTTTGAATGATACAATAAGATAAATGGTTAAGCTTATACTTACAGTTTTATTTTCGTGAAAATTAAAAGTCAATTTTAATGTTAATTCATTTATCAATCATATAAATTTATAGAATTAGTATTGAATTGAAATTTTCGTGTAACACTAGAATCTAAATAAGATTGAAACAGAGTTTGAATGTTGAATGTTTTAACCATGAAAAGTGATATCATTGTCAGATAAATGTAATATTATCAAGACAAACCCTCTCATGGATTTATCAATGGACGAGGGAAAGAGGAAGACCAGAGAAAACATTATGCCGAGGAAAATAAACAGCACTTCGACAGAACTGGAATCGAAGACTTAGAAGAGATTAGGTTGAAGAACGCAAGTTGGCAGCCTCTACTCCGTTTGCCGTAGGTAAGTAAGTAAGCAAGTAAGCAAGTAAGTAAGTAAGTAAGTAAGTAAGTAAGTAAGTAAGTAAGTAAGTAAGTAAGTAAGTAAGTAAGTAAGTAAGTAAGTAAGTAAGTAAGTAAGTAAGTAAGTAAGTAAGTAAGTAAGTAAGTAAGTAAGTAAGTAAGTAAGTAAGTAAGTAAGTAAGTAAGTAAGTAAGTAAGTAAGTAAGTAAGTAAGTAAGTAAGTAAGTAAGTAAGTAAGTAAGTAAGTAAGTAAGTAAGTAAGTAAGTAAGTAAGTAAGTAAGTAAGTAAGTAAGTAAGTAAGTAAGTAAGTAAGTAAGTAAGTAAGTAAGTAAGTAAGTAAGTAAGTAAGTAAGTAAGTAAGTAAGTAAGTAAGTAAGTAAGTAAGTAAGTAAGTAAGTAAGTAAGTAAGTAAGTAAGTAAGTAAGTAAGTAAGTAAGTAAGTAAGTAAGTAAGTAAGTAAGTAAGTAAGTAAGTAAGTAAGTAAGTAAGTAAGTAAGTAAGTAAGTAAGTAAGTAAGTAAGTAAGTAAGTAAGTAAGTAAGTAAGTAAGTAAGTAAGTAAGTAAGTAAGTAAGTAAGTAAGTAAGTAAGTAAGTAAGTAAGTAAGTAAGTAAGTAAGTAAGTAAGTAAGTAAGTAAGTAAGTAAGTAAGTAAGTAAGTAAGTAAGTAAGTAAGTAAGTAAGTAAGTAAGTAAGTAAGTAAGTAAGTAAGTAAGTAAGTAAGTAAGTAAGTAAGTAAGTAAGTAAGTAAGTAAGTAAGTAAGTAAGTAAGTAAGTAAGTAAGTAAGTAAGTAAGTAAGTAAGTAAGTAAGTAAGTAAGTAAGTAAGTAAGTAAGTAAGTAAGTAAGTAAGTAAGTAAGTAAGTAAGTAAGTAAGTAAGTAAGTAAGTAAGTAAGTAAGTAAGTAAGTAAGTAAGTAAGTAAGTAAGTAAGTAAGTAAGTAAGTAAGTAAGTAAGTAAGTAAGTAAGTAAGTAAGTAAGTAAGTAAGTAAGTAAGTAAGTAAGTAAGTAAGTAAGTAAGTAAGTAAGTAAGTAAGTAAGTAAGTAAGTAAGTAAGTAAGTAAGTAAGTAAGTAAGTAAGTAAGTAAGTAAGTAAGTAAGTAAGTAAGTAAGTAAGTAAGTAAGTAAGTAAGTAAGTAAGTAAGTAAGTAAGTAAGTAAGTAAGTAAGTAAGTAAGTAAGTAAGTAAGTAAGTAAGTAAGTAAGTAAGTAAGTAAGTAAGTAAGTAAGTAAGTAAGTAAGTAAGTAAGTAAGTAAGTAAGTAAGTAAGTAAGTAAGTAAGTAAGTAAGTAAGTAAGTAAGTAAGTAAGTAAGTAAGTAAGTAAGTAAGTAAGTAAGTAAGTAAGTAAGTAAGTAAGTAAGTAAGTAAGTAAGTAAGTAAGTAAGTAAGTAAGTAAGTAAGTAAGTAAGTAAGTAAGTAAGTAAGTAAGTAAGTAAGTAAGTAAGTAAGTAAGTAAGTAAGTAAGTAAGTAAGTAAGTAAGTAAGTAAGTAAGTAAGTAAGTAAGTAAGTAAGTAAGTAAGTAAGTAAGTAAGTAAGTAAGTAAGTAAGTAAGTAAGTAAGTAAGTAAGTAAGTAAGTAAGTAAGTAAGTAAGTAAGTAAGTAAGTAAGTAAGTAAGTAAGTAAGTAAGTAAGTAAGTAAGTAAGTAAGTAAGTAAGTAAGTAAGTAAGTAAGTAAGTAAGTAAGTAAGTAAGTAAGTAAGTAAGTAAGTAAGTAAGTAAGTAAGTAAGTAAGTAAGTAAGTAAGTAAGTAAGTAAGTAAGTAAGTAAGTAAGTAAGTAAGTAAGTAAGTAAGTAAGTAAGTAAGTAAGTAAGTAAGTAAGTAAGTAAGTAAGTAAGTAAGTAAGTAAGTAAGTAAGTAAGTAAGTAAGTAAGTAAGTAAGTAAGTAAGTAAGTAAGTAAGTAAGTAAGTAAGTAAGTAAGTAAGTAAGTAAGTAAGTAAGTAAGTAAGTAAGTAAGTAAGTAAGTAAGTAAGTAAGTAAGTAAGTAAGTAAGTAAGTAAGTAAGTAAGTAAGTAAGTAAGTAAGTAAGTAAGTAAGTAAGTAAGTAAGTAAGTAAGTAAGTAAGTAAGTAAGTAAGTAAGTAAGTAAGTAAGTAAGTAAGTAAGTAAGTAAGTAAGTAAGTAAGTAAGTAAGTAAGTAAGTAAGTAAGTAAGTAAGTAAGTAAGTAAGTAAGTAAGTAAGTAAGTAAGTAAGTAAGTAAGTAAGTAAGTAAGTAAGTAAGTAAGTAAGTAAGTAAGTAAGTAAATAACAAAACTAAGAAGTCTATCAAGAGATTTTTTGCATATCCCGTATCAACCCCACCCCATCACCCACCAACAGTTTAGCACTGCATAAATCGTTTATGTGAATGACAAGATGAATATATGCTGCATAGTACACGCACACACACAAACATCTATAATGTAATACTGAATATCCGATCATACAATAAATCACATATATGATTAATCTTTTCTCTATGTCAAATTAACAATAACAAATATTCATTTATATACGATGACATGGTAATGATTTCCCATTGAAATAGTATTTTAAGTAAACTAACTAACTAACTAACTAACTAACTATTTTTTTTGTTTTGAGGTCAGTATGTATTAAATGTTTATACAATAAAATAATTTTTATTTCATGAATTTATTAAATTTATTGACTTAGATAAAAATTTTAAAAATTTAATTATTTTTTAGTAAATAAATATATCCAAGTGTACCAGGAAAAAAAATATGAAAACGTTCATTGTAACATTTGGTTCAAATCAATGCAGCATGCGAGTTAGTTAGTTAGTTAGTTCAGTGTACAAAAACTGGAAGCACTGAAACAACGGCTGTTTCGCCCTGGTATGGGACTACATTCATCAGTGGTAGTGCGCATCCATGACTCTCGCTACTCGCCGGGGTTCGAACCCAGGACATTCGGTGTGGAGTGCGAAAACGCTTAACCTTTAATGTGATCACACTGGTGACTAGGTTAGTGAAGAAAACTCTTGAAGTTCTAGTGAGAAGCCATGACCAGTGGAGTTCTACTCTGTTTGATCGTGAAGCAGTGCGCATCGAAGTCAGTGGATGGGATTATTTAAGGCCGTGGATAGATTGAGGTTAGACACTGAAAGAGTTAGATGCCGGCTTACTAGTCTATAGAGTAGGTGTACGCACGCGCGCAAGATCGAAGGTCCAGGATTCGAATCCTGACTGTAATAGTTAATAGTAGCAGCAGTCGTCATCATGATTCATATTACCAATAGAAAGGCATCAAAATTACAAATGAACATAACAATTAAAACAAACTAACCTTTGATAACGGGATACTCATGATCAGAATAATTGCAGTGAGAAATTTTTCTTTGACCAAATCATTGAGTACTTGTTTACAACCCTTTTAAAATGAAATTTTTTTTAAAAAAAACGATTTTGTAATACAAATATTCAATTATTTATTACTAGTTCATATTTGAATATAAATACTTCATCTACAGAATCATTTTTTAGAGATTGTTAGACAAAATGTACTGCATCCCAACTTAACAATGCGCATCTTTACGCACGCTCTCTCTCTCTCTATCTCACACACACACACACACCTTTTTAGGACACTTTTAAAACATTATGTTGGGGATTTAACGATTTAATAGAAACGGAATATTTTTCATGAAAGAGTTATGGAGATAGTTGTTAACTACTGAAATCATGAATCAGTCATTGTTCGGTTAGGCGTACGTGTGCAACATTGAAGGTCCTGGGTTCGGAGTCTTGCGATTGGTAAGAGTTATGGATGTGTATTGCTGATGAGTAGTCTCACACCTGGACGAAACGGTCGTCTTACAGTGCTGCTGCTATCGACAATTCCTTTACAGTTTTGATTTTTTTTTAAAAAAACAAGTTTTTATGTTACTGTGAAAAAGATCTCTTATTTATGACTAGATGGATGGGATGTCATTAGAGAAGTACAACCTAGCTTGAAATATTTAAGGCAAACTGAAGAAAAAAAAATTAAAGCAAAACAAACGAACTACATTACGCTGAGGAATGTTAAGCAAACATGGAAAGAATGAACAGAAATTGGTAACAAATGGATAGGAGAGTAAGTGTATACGACAGAGTTAGTTGACGAATCATAGTCGGAGGCCTATGCCCTATAAATGGTAGAACAGGCGTAAGAAAAGCATATTAATTAAAAGGAATTAAATATATGGCGGTTGTTGAAACTTCATCAGTTGAGGTGGTTAGGACATGTATTACGTATGCCTAACTACCGACTGTCGCGACGAGATTTGTTTTGTGGTGTAGGAGTGAGTAGGTTGGAAGAAAGCTAAGGGCGACCAGACCGAAACATGGCACAAATACATCAAGTCACTGACAACTGGACTGTGTCGTGTCGGTAGATGTAGACTACTTGGTTGGGGTCCGTGAGACGAAAGTCATCAATGGTTAGAGACCTTGAACGACATGGCTCAGAATCGTTTGCAATGACACGGGTGCATCCACTCTTTGTGTTATCTCAAATCCTAATCTCCTGAATTCGTCAGCACCTCTACCTTTGTCTTTCTAACCTTATCTCACTGAATTATACTTCTCAAATTATATCTTTGCTCCTTAATCTTCTCCATTGTTGCTAATAATTCTACTATCACTATCACTGTTGGATTTGAACTGACAGTTACATCTCTGTGCCGACATGGTATGGCAACCTCTGAACTGATGTACTTATTATGTACGATGTTCCGCGTTGTATCCGTCTGTCTGTCTATCTGGTTGTTGAAAGAATTAATTGAACTAAACCACAATGATCACAGTTAAGATCGCAGTCCTTCAAAATGTTGCGTAGAACTTTTCAACAACATGAACAAATAATTTGTGTGTCTACTTTAATCGAATACAAAGAAAACAAATTAAGCCAATAATCGATTGTAAAACTATATTCAATAAGACTCCCGACCGAAGCTGCCTCCTTGACTTGGTGGTCGGGCTTGCCTATCGTGATGACCCAACCGAGCTATATTGGCTAGGACATATGTTCCAGAAGGTTCTACCATGCCAGGCAGGTCGATTGGAGAACGATCAGACTAAAAGCAGCTACTCAAAGTCTGAGGGCGAAGTCGTACTGCTGACTACTGCAGAGGGGTGTGACAGCAGTAAGGTGTTTCCCTCGGACAACCAGCATCTGCAGCGATGCTGCTTTCTCACAAGGAAGGAAGGATTAGAAAAGGTCGACCCTAAAAATGTCATACCTCACCCAACCTCACGGATTTCCGTCTCCTTGGGTAAGGGTGCCCACTAAGGGCTTTTAAGAACGGAGCTAATACTAAAAAAACCTTTCATAAAAAGGCCTCGCGTGACCGGCCTCAAGCAGTTGTCCCTTTGGCTCTGAGGTCACACTTCCACGTCTCTAAGACCAACACTAATCTATCTTTCTTTTCGGGTCCCTCAAGAAACAACCTTCCACGTTGTGGGCAGCCGGGAAGTGATAACCGCCCTCATACCCGCAACAGCACACGAGACCAAATTGTTCAAAATTCAATAAGACTAAACTGATCTCTATAGAAATTGATCAATGTCTTTCTTTGTATCATAGAACGCATATAATATTTGAATATGATTCATAAATTTAGCTGACACATTCTAGAGTTTCATGACCAAACAGCGAACTGTATTAGTAGTGTGGTGTGAACTACTTATAAGTAGTATATGACGTGAGTGTCAACGTAATGTCTGGCAGCAGCAGATGGGGGGAAGATCAAGAAAGGAAGAGTTAGAAGAACACAATGGAATTTGTATGAAACGCATGAACAGTGACATTGGATTGATGTTGTTTGCAACAGGAACAGTCCAGTTCGATATGATGAAGTGATATTTTGCAAATTAACGATTTACGATATGGTTTTCCGATTTTACTGAGTAACTCTGTAATTTTCGTTAAATACAATTCGGTTGCCCCACCGGTGTTCTCCTTCACTACAGTAGTATTCATTCATAGGATTATGTGTCTTTCCATTTTCACTATATTTTAGTGTACTAAAATAAATTGTTCATGCTATGGAACATGTAATGACTAGGTTACATCTCTCAAGGTTGTTTAATTAAAGCAGTGAAGTAGGTAGGGGGCATAGTCATGTCGAAAATTCAGTGAATGGTGTTGTAGTCTTCTACTAACTTTAACCAATCCTATTGATACTGTGTTATAATATTGTGCTTTCAAAGCAGTATCAATGGCATAGTGGATACTGTAATCAACTTACAACCATTAGGTTATATATATATATTCATATTACACTTGATCTATGAGATGGTGGAGAAAATTTGTAGCTAAGATGAATGATTGTGTTGGTGGTGGTGTTTCGTTCTCTGGGGCTGGATATTGTTTTGGTTGTGGAGCTTTCAACTGTTCTTCTGCCGAACACAACATCATCATCAGCACAAACTTCAGATGGAAGAAGTGAAGCATTCAAATTTCTCGACGTTTGACCTTTAGCTTGTTCTGCTACCTTTGATCTTGATTGGTGTGTTGTTGACCTTAAATCTGTCGTTGTTTGCAACACAAGCCAAACTAAGTACGTAAACCAATAAACGGATCATTCTATCATACATAAAAGACAGATGGGAGCATACAGCATGACTACTGAAAACATTTGGACACAAAAACCAACAGAATCACTTCAATCAATCCTATGTAGACCAAAAGACAAAATGGTAAAGGGAGAAAAGCCAAATATCATCTACAAAATAAATTTCTCAGACTGTGGAAAACACTACATAGGACAAAGTGGACGGCCTCTTCAGCTTCGTTTACGTGAACACCGGTTAGCAGTCAAACGCCACGACAATTCTTCGCTTATATCAATACACACCGACAATTATGGACATATAATCGATTAGGACAATGTGAAAATACTGGATAGGGGGAGAAAAAAGAATACTAGGGAATTTTTAGAGGCTTGGCACTCCTCAGGTCAATCAGCAGTTACCAAACACATCGACATTGACCCAACCAGTTAAAAAAAACATAAACAAACATCGGATCAAGAAACAGATCAAAAGGGAGATACAATAAAAAAAAAACAAAGGTGCAAACCACGACAGATTTAACGTCAACAGCAACCAATCAAGATCGAGGTTAGCAGAACAAGCTACAGGTCAAACGTGGAGAAATTCAAATGCTTCACTTCTGCTATCTGAAGTTTGTGCTGATGATGATGTTGTGTTCAGCAGATGAACAATGAAAGCTCTACAAACAAAACAACATCCAGACCCAGAGAACCAAACACCACCACAACACTTGACCTATCTTATTAACCTTATGCACTAGAACGTATGACTAACCATCAGAATACATGACTTAAATTGAAGCTTACTAAATAAATTTGTACATTTTAGGTAACTGCAAATGTAAAAATGGAAATAAACAATGGAATCACTATTCACAGTATGCAGTTCGATATTCAACAAGCTCTGAATTAAAGGTGAATCTTTTTAAAAAACAACAATACAAGTCAAAAAATATATATATACGTGTCATACCAGGTGTATTGTACAAGATGAAATTACAGTTCAACAATCAATTCCATTAGTAGACATGCGACCCACGAAAAGAACTAGCTACTCTCTCTCTCTCTCTCACTCTTGATATATATATGCACCTACAATATTTTGTCATAATAGAAAGTCAGTCAGTTGCAACGTAGAACTTCGTACGTATGTGTACATACGTTCATGTTGCCATACCACACTAGCACAGAAACACAAATGTCAAATCAAATCCCATTATGATTGAGATAGTAGAGGTATTAATGGTAATGAAGAAGACTAGGAGTTGAAGATATTATTCAAGATGTACAATTCAGTGAGATAAGGTTAGAAAGACAAAGGTAGAGGTGCTGACGAATCAAGAAGATTAGGATTTGAGAGAACACAACAAATGCGTGCACTTGCAAACGAATTTGAGTCATGTCGTTTAAGGTCTATAACCATTGGTGACTTTCCTCTCGAGGACCCCAACCGGATAGCCTCCATCTACCGACATGACTCAGTCCACTTGTCAGTGACTTCATGGATTTCTGCCATGTTTTGGTTTGACCGCCCCTAATTTTCTTCTAATCTAATACCACACCACAGAACATAGCTCGTCGAGGCAGTCGATCGCTAGGCATAAGTAACACATGTTCCAACCACCTAAACTGATGAAGTTTCACTACTTCATCTATTGATCTGACATCCTTACCTAGTACTCGCTTCCAAATGGCACCATTACTTATACGGTTGTCTCACGGTATACGAGCAATGCTTCTTAAACATCTATGATCGAATTACTAGTAACCTACGAACATCTTCTACTCTTAACCGCCGTGTTTCGCATCCATATGGGAGAACAGAGTGAACTGC